AGCTATAAAGAGTCTCCCAAAAAAGAAAAGTCCAGGACCTGATGGATTCTACCAGATTTCAAAGAACTAACATCAACTCTTCTTAAACTTTTCCACAAAAATAGAAAGGGAAGGAACACTGCCCAACTCATTCTATGAAGCCAGCAGTACACTCATCCAAAACTGGACAAGGAGACAACAAAAAGGAGAACTACAGGTGAATCTCTTTCATGAATATAGATTCAAAATTCCTCAATAAAGTGATGGCAAACTGAATTCAACAGCATAACAATCAAAAAGATCATCCACCATTACCAAATTGGCATCACCCCACGGATGCAGGGATGGTTCAACATATGCAAATCATGAAATGTAATATAGCATATTAAGAGAAGCAAAGGCAAAACCACTTGATCATCTCAATAGATGCAGGAAAAAGTCCAACAAAATTCAACAATCTTTCATGATAAAATATCTGATGAAATAGGAATAGAAGGAATGTACCTCAACATAATACAGGCTATATATTACAAACCTATAGCCAACATCGTACTTAATGGGGAAAAGCTGAAACTATTTTCCCTAAAGTCAGGGACAAGACAAGGGTGCTCATTCTCTCCACTCCTACTCAATATAGTCTTAGAATTCCTAGCCAGAGAAATAAGACAGGAAGAAGAAATAAAAGGAATACAAGTAGGAAAGAAAGAAGTCAAATTATCCCTAGTCACAGATGACATGATCTTATACCTAAAAGACCCAAAAAAGCCACCAGAAAACTCCTAGATACCATAAACAGTTTTTGCAAAGTAGCAGGATACAAAATCAATTTATAAAAATTAGTAGCCTTTCTATACACCAACAATGAACAGATCTAAAAAGAATATAGGAAAAACAATTCCATTTACAATAGCCTAAAAAAATTAAATACCTAGGAATAAACTTAACAAAGGATGTGAATGACCTCTACAATGAAAACTACAAACCACTGAAAAAAGAAATCAAAGAGACTATAGAAGATAGAACAATCTCACATGTTCATGGATTGGTAGAATCAACATAGTAAAAATGGCTATACTACCAAAAGTAGTCTACATGTTCGATGCAGTTTCCAACAAAATCTGAATGATATTCATCACAGAGATTGAAAAATCAACCCTAAAGTTCATTTGGAAACACAAAAGACCATGAATAGCCAAGGCAATACTGAGCAAAAAAAGTAATGCTGAAAGTATCACAATACTTTCAAGCTATATTCAGAGCCATAGCAACAAAAACAGCACGGTACTGGCACAAAAACAAATGTGAAGACCAGTGGAACAGAATAGAGGACCCAGACATGAATCCACACAGCTAGGCCCACCTAATTTTTGACAAAGGTGCCAAAAACATGTGATGGAGAAAAGGCAGCCTCTTCAACAAATGCTGCTTGGAAAATGAAAAGTGGTTATCTGCCTGCAGAAAACTGAAACTAGATCCATGCCTGTCACCCTATAAAATATCAGCTCAAAGTAGATTAAGGACCTTAATATCAGACCTGAAACTTTGAAGCTAGTACAGGAAAGAGCAGGGAATATACTGGAGGCAATAGGTATAGGCAAGGACTTCCTCAGTAGAACTCAAACAACTCAGCAACTAAGAGAAAGGATGGGAAAATGGGACTACATGAAATTAAAAAGCTTCTGCGTGACAAAAGAAATGGATTCTAAATTGAAGAGGCCACCCACAGAGTAGAAGAAAATATTTGCCAGCTATACATCTAACAAGGGATTAATAACCAGAATATGCAGGGAGCTCAAAAAACTAAACTCCCCCCAAATCAATGACCCAGTAAAGAAATAGGCAAATGAACTGAACTGTGCCTTTTCAAAGGAAGAAGTCCAAATGGCTAAAAAACACATGAAGAAACATTCACAATTCCTGGCCATAAAGGAAATGCAAATGAAAACCATATTAAGAATCCACCTCACTCCTGTTAGAATAGCTATCATCAAAAAACACCACCAACAACAAATGTTGGCGAGGATGTGGGGAGAAAGGAACCCTTGTACACTGCTGGTGGGAATGTAAGCTAGTACAACCACTCTGGAAAACAATATAGAGGCTTCTTAAAAAACTAAAAACTGATCTGCCATACAATCCAGCAATACCACTCCTAGGGATATAACCAAAGGACTGTGAGTCAGGTTACAACAAAGGCACCTGCACACCCATGTTTATTGTAGCACTATTCACAATAGCCAAGCTATGGAAACAGCCAAGATGCCCCACTACTGACGAATGGATAAAGAAAATATGGTATTTATACACAATGGAATTTTACTCAGCCACGAAGAAGAATGAAATCTTGTCATTTGCAGGTCAGTGGATGGAACTGGAGAACATCATCTTAAGTGAAGTCAGTCAGGCTCAGAAGGACAAAACTCATGTGTTCTCTCTCGTTATGTGGAAGATAAACCCAATACTAACAGCAATATTGCTTTCTATTTTTATTTTTATTTTTAATTATTCATATGTGCATACAATGCTTGGGTCATTTCTTCCCCCTGCCCCCACCCCCTCCCTTATCACCCACTCCGCCCCCTCTCTCTCCCCCCCACCCCCTCGCTACCCGGCAGAAACTATTTTGCCCTTATTTCTAATTTTGTTGTAGAGAGAGTATAAGCAATAATAGGAAGGAACAAGGGTTTTTGCTGGTTGAGATAAGGATAGCTATACAGGGCATTGACTTACATTGATTTCCTGTGTGTGTGTGTTACCTTCTAGGTTAATTCTTCTTGATCTAAACTTTTCTCTAGTTCCTGGTCCCCTTCTCCTCTTGGCCTCAGTTGCTTTTAAGGTATCTGCTTTAGTTTCTCTGCTTTGAGGGCAACAAATGCTAGCTAATTTTTTAGGTGTCTTACCTATCCTCACCCCTCCCTTGTGTGCTCTCGCTTTTATCATGTGATCAAAGTCCAATCCCCTTGTTGTGTTTGCCCTTGATCTAATGTCCGCATATGAGGGAGAACATACGATTTTAGGTCTTTTGGGCCAGGCTAACCTCACTCAGAATGATGTTCTCCAATTCCATCCATTTACCAGAGAATGATAACATTTCGTTCTTCTTCATGGCTGCATAAAATTCCATTGTGTATAGATACCACATTTTCTTAATCCATTCGTCAGTGGTGGGGCATCTTGGCTGTTTCCACAACTTGGCTATTGTGAATAGTGCTGCAATAAACATGGGTGTGCAGGTGCCTCTGGAGTAACCAACACAGCAATATTGTGAAACACTGGTCACACTAAGGGGAGATCATGCATGGGAGGGGTAGGGTAAAAGAAGGAAACTAAGAACTTGAATAGGGTTGATATACTGTCTATAGAAGAATGAATATAGAAATCTTAAACCAACTGAAACCACCATAATAAAGGGATTAAAGTTGAGTGAAGAAAATTAGAGGAGATGAACCAATACATATGTACATGGAAATATCACAAGGAAACTTCCTATGTAGCTACCTTTATCTCAAATAAGCAAAAATGTCATGTTTTTCTTTTTCTCTTTTCTTCTTTTTTTCTCCTATAAAATCGTAGAACAAGAGGGTGGGACAGGTCTTGCCTGGGGGTGTGGTGGGGTTGGTACTGGTGGGAGGGGGGAGGTGGCAGGGAAAGGGAGTAGGAGGTGAATACAGTGACAAAATGTGTACACATGTATATAAATGCAGAAAAGATATGTGTTGAAACTTCCAGGAATTGGGTGAGGGGAGAAAAGAGTGGTGGAGGGGGTGAATTCAAGTATGACATATTTGGTAAGAACCTTTATAAGTGTCACAATGTACCCCCACCCATCACAACAATAAAGGAAAATAGTATTTTCCTGGCTGGGCATAGTGACTCACATCTGTAATTCCAGCTACTTGGGAGGATCATGCTTTTTGGCAAGCCCAGTGAAAGTTAGTGAGACCCATCTAACAATAAGCTTGTCTTAGTGGCTCATGCCCATAGTCCCCACTATGAGGAGGTATAGGTGGTAGGGCTGTGGTTCCAGGCTGGCCTTGGGTAAATGCGAGACCCTATCTGAACAAGGACTAAAGCACAAAGGGTTGAGGCGTGGCTGAAGTAGTGGAACATCTGCCTAGTTAGCATGAGGCCCTGAGTTCAAACCCCAGTACCACCAATAACTAAATAAATAAAAATTTATTGTACTCTTTTCTATTTTTAAAGAGTTAATACTATTCACCGATCCACCCACCAACCCACACACACCTTTGGAAATAGCATGGTCTAGAACTAAATGAACGTAAGGTTAGCGAAAGATCAGCTGGGTGTATAGACCCTTTTGACGCTCCCAAGTCAAGACATTCTGAATGTAATAGGTAATTGGGACTGAGCAGCTGGCTTGAGTGTACACTAGTTGTACTGGTAGTTTTTTTTTTTTTTTTAAGAACAATATTAAGAGAAAAAAAGTCAAGTTACAAAAAGGCAACAAATCTCACAATCTCTTGCTTGTGGGTGAGAAAACATCCAGAAAGCCAGGATGCTGGACGCCTAGCTTAGCTGACCAAGAGAAAGTCTGAGAATCATTTTCATGAAACCTGGTTTGCTGCCCCTGAACACTGTTCTTGATAATCTTTTGATCATATGGTTCGCTCTCACAGCTGCTTCCTCATTCTTGTTACAACACAACTCCATTGCTGACAAAATTTTTGTGTGTTGAGATGTCTGTCTTGGGTTGGCTAATTCAGAGTTACCAGCTACGGAGCTCCACGAGTACCTAAGCTATATAATAATAAATCAGCCTTCCAAAAAATGATGGACATTTCACTTTTAGAGTAAAGATGTAAATTTGTATTTAAAATGTTATCTGGTAATATACAGTGGATTTTTATTAGATTAGCAGTAAAACAAAACCTTAATTATCTAAAGTTAATTTAAGTGCCAACATGTATTCACACATACAGCCTCTCACATTAAAATTATAAGATTAAAGGCACATATGAATTGGTATATCAAAGCAGAATGTATTAGGATATTGATTATATTTAAATAATTACTTTTCTTTTTCCTTCTGTAGGTGAAGAGGGCTTGATAGAATTCACCACGGTGGCTTTCGAGTCTCCAAAGGCATTGCTGGCGGAGGCCTGACTGGGGGGCAGGTGGTGCAGGGTCTTATCTTTCAGGCTGTCCTCATAGCCCTCCATAGCAACAGGGCTGGTTTGGTCATTTTTTAGAACAGAGCCTGATCCAAAGAGTTCCTCCATCAGGCTGCTTTTCTTATCTCTGAAAGCTATGTCTTCCACTTTTGCTCTGGAGGACTTACCAAATGAGGGCTCGTACCCGCTGACAGGGTGCTCGAGCTTCATGTCTTCTGTGTTACTGCGATGTCTGCTGGTGCTGGCATGATGGCAGCGGGCACTGCCTGTGCTGGCTGCCGCCCCAGAGGTGGGAAGCCCCTGATGCAAGTTCTCGGTGGCTTCTGTGAATGAGTAGTGCTTCCTTTGTCTGAAGGATACCTTGGTATTTGGAAGAATGTATTTATCAGGTATCTTGTCAGTGTCACTTATTTGTACACTTCTTTTAATCTTTTCTTGTGTAGTGTCTTCTTCCTGACTGCTTTCTCTTTCAGGATGAATTATCTGAATTCTTTTTGGTGATAATTCTTGTTCTTGTAAAATGGTCTTCTGTTCTTCATCTTCCGTTTTCTCTTTTTGTCTCCTAACATTCTCCAGAAGAGGTGTTTGTACTTCCAACTGTTCCTCTTCCTTTGATAAATCTATATTAGGAAGACAGACAATTTAGTGCCCTTAAAACTCAGTGGATTTCTGGGCTGGGGGTGTGGCTCAGTGGTAAAGTACAAAGCAAGCATGAGGCCCTGGGTTCTGTCCCCATCATCACAAAATGAACAAAGAAAAACCCCAAGCAAACAAAAGCTTGATGGGTCTCTGTTTCAAGATGGCCTGTTTAGCACATTAACTGGCACTTCCTGCAGCACATTAGAGGGACATAAGGTAAGAGCACGAGTGTGGGCAACGCAGCCTCCAGAGGAGGGCACGCTGAATTAACAAGCCTAACGAACTACTTTTCCAGAACATCTCAAATAAATGGCACTTATGAAACCAAGAGAACATTAATAGACAAAGAAACAAAATTTGCCTACAAGATTATTAAAAGATGTTCAACATGAGAAACTGGACACAGTGCCAGTTAAAGCAATGGGAGTGTTTCCACCATCCAGTGGAAAATAACTTCCAGACTTGGTGAGAACATGAGATTGCAGTTTTTCATCCTCCTTGGTGGGTGTGTAAATTGGTAGAGCTTTTTTGAATGTCAGTTTATCAATACCTAGCAAAACTGAAATGAACACACTCTTAGGCTCAATGACTTCACATTTAGGAAGAATACATACAGGAATCCACAAAGAGGTGTGATGTTGATTGCAGCGAGGCTGCGTGTAGGGGAGGCTGTGAGTATGTCATAGGAGAAGTGAAGTGTTAGTCCATGCAAATCAGGTAGTTCTCTAAGGAGCAAGGGGGACAGGGTGACCCATACTAGAAGAGAAGCCGTACAGGGCATGTTGCATTTGTCCACTGCTGTCTTCCCAGTTCTCAGAGCAGGGCCTGACACATGACATATACTCAAAAAGGATTTGTCAAATGAATGAATAAACTTCCTAGGACAATAGGTATTACTGAATTGGGCTGAAAAATACATAAAAAATTTAAATAGACCACAGTGAAAATGCAATTGGCAATCAGTTTCCAGAAAACTGCACCAAAGAGTGTCTTTATAGGTGAGTGCTACCAAACTGTGGTGCTATTTAAATCTTATTTGGTGTCACCAAAGAAGGTGTGGCTTGCCCAGGGCTTCTACTGTGAGAGCTCACTGTGTTCAGCAAGGCTATTCTCCCTAACCCAAGGGAACACACACAATCCCAGCCCAGAGTGAGCTCTGGAATTCTTCATCTGGGGCTGCTCTCTTCTCAGGAGTTCTTGCTTAGTCTTGTGAGGTTTTACCCAGACGTGCATTTACAATAATGTAATATGGAAACAACGGGGCAAGTGTCCTCAAAATCCTGAAGGACAACGACCTCCAATGAACAATTTTCTACTGAGGTGATTATTGATCAGGTGTATGTGTAGAATAATGGCATGTCCAGATGAAAGGTACAGGTTTGCCTCTCTACCCACTCATTCTCAAGAAGCTAGTAGAGGTTGTTCTCCTTAAAACACAATAGGATCTACCAGAAAAAGACAAGGACATGGTTTGGTAAACAAGATTCAGTAGAGAAGGGGGTGGTGACAAGAATCTGCAGGAAATGATGAAGGAGGGCCCCATCTGTGCACTAGAGGCTGAGACGGCTAGGACTCCTGCTCTGTTATCCCTCTAGGTTCCCAATACCAGGTGAGCCAAGTTTGTGGCCTACCTCCGTGGATTGGTGAGTGTTATGTGGTCTCCTGTACCCTGAAGCCTGGACTGGTTTAAGACTCTCCTTGCACCCAGAGAAGCGTTAAGGTTTGACCTACTCTTCAGAGCTGGGGGTAAGCTTTGGTGATCGTGGCAGGAAGAGAGCCCCCCGCCATGAATTAAATAGCCAGAACCTTGATCTTGGACTCCCCAGCCTCTAGAATTGTGAGAAAATAATGTCTGTTGTTTTAGCTCCCAGTCTGTGGCATTTTGTTGTGGCAGCCCAAATAGACTAATAACACAGGTACATAGGAGGACGGGGCTGAGAGAAGAAGCAAGGGACTGACTGGCATAAAAGCCAACACTGGTAGGCAAGGCCAGGAGAGAAGCTTGGGTTCTAAGGAGCACTAACGTTCTGGGTGCACCGTGTTGCTTTTATTATAATTTTGTAAACTGTATGTGTTATGTGTTCTTTCATAATACATCAAAATGCACAATTTAAAAAATCAGGTAAGAATAGAGGAGACATTTCCCCTCCTTTTTTGAGACAGGGTCTTACTTTGTGGTCTAGGCTGGTCTTAAACTCATGATCCTCCCACCTCAGCCTCCTGAGGTCTGGGATTAAAAGTAAGCACACCACCACACCCAGTTTGAAAGAGTTGTTAATTCCAGGTGTGGCTTTACGAAGCTGTTAGGATTACTGGGACTGAGCATGGTGACATAATGTAGGAGGCAGAGGCAGGAGAACCACAGTCTGAGGCCAGTCAGGGGCAAAAACTCAAGACCCTATGTGAAAAATAACTAAAGTGAAAAAGGGCTGGCAGCATGGCTCATGTGGTAGGGCTCCTGCCTAGCAAGTGCAAGGCCCTGAGTTCATTCCCCTGTACCCCACAAAAAATTACCTTCATATTTTTTCTTAGATTCTTCTTGCTTTGGTAATTTACTGATATAGTGAGGAATTTCATAGTGTGTTTCAGATGATTTTTCTTTATAACCAGTGTTTCCTGTTGGCTTTTTACCCTATAATTTAGAAAAATAGCAAAAAATACATTTGGGAGGTGTAGAGTTTTGAAATTGTGTTTCACGCTAATGAATATACAAGCACTTTTTAAAAAATAGAATAAGTGATTGTAGTTTACTCTATAGTCTTAAGACATGTTGAATTAGACCCTGTGAGATTTCAAATTTGCCTTACCTTGCTTGTCAAAGATGGGACATCTTCTGATTTTTGAGTTTCCTGGTGTCTCATACTTATAAATGATATATTTTTCCTGTCTGCTTGTACAGATTTTGTTGAAGAAACTGCAGAATAGGTAGATTATATGCAAGAAACATTTTACATCTGGAAGCAATTTTGACATTAAACATAAAATAGCATCAAAATACACAATGTTGAAATGAAACAAGGTACAGGAGGCACTTTCTAAACATTCATTACATGAAAAACACTTGGAGGTCCCTTTTTGTTTTTCGTGCCATCTCCTTGTTTTGTTTTTTTTTTTTGGGCCACATAGGTTAGGTTTCAGTGTTAGAGTAAGGCAGGTGGGTGTTGGGAGAAGACAGCTGCTAGGAGATGAGGAGGCTTGCTCTGTGAGGAACACGTTGCAATAAAAAGGTCCAGACTGAGAACAGTAGCATCACCATGGATGAACCTCTGAACACTGTGCTGCACAAAAGAAGCTAGATACAGAAGAGCAGTGCATGCCAGGTGATTCCACTGACAGGAGGTTCTAGAACAGGCAAACGGAGCCATTGTGACAGGGAGATTAGTTCCCATGAGAGGTGGGGACGAGTGACTGTGAAGGAGCACTGGGAGCTCCCAGGGGGAGGTGACCTCATCACGGGGGAGTTTACATGGCATGTCAAAGTCATTGCACTGAAAAGCTGAAACAAGTGCATTTTGTTGAAGTAAAGTTCCTTTTCAAAAGCCACACACTGGCTGACAGAGATAATTAGAGAGTTCAAGTCCTGGCAGACGTTTTGCTTCAAGCTGAAAAGTTACCTCATTCTACCTGAAGAAAGGACATAAGACTGAACCAAAACTGAGAGAAGGGGAAAGCATTTCTACTCTTTTCTAGCTTGTCAGTATTACAGCTTCATTATTCTAGAATCACAATGTGTACTTCAATGCCCAAAGAGATGATTTTTAAAAATATCCATTATTTTGGCTATATAAAATAGGAAAATATGACCAGATGATTAAAAATAGATTTTGAGCAAAAGTAACTAAAACATACCTTTTGGGTAATCATCTTTTTCATGTAAATTTTTAAGTATTCGATTAGTATAGATGTTTTTAATTTCAAGCTCATGATCCTTCTCCTAAAAAGAACCACAATGTCAACTTTTCTATAAATATTTGTTTATAAATATTTGTTTAGAAAAACAATGTAGGTGAATCTATAGTTCTGCAAATCCCAGAAACAGGCCACATCATTGTAACCATTCCTAACACCGAAAGCACTGGCTTTTTCTTAGAAGTGACACATTACAGTGATGAGGACCAGACTCTGAACAACCTGGCAGGTAAGCTGCTTTCACTGTGCTCTTCCTGTCCCCTGGGCCTGGCCTGACCTTTATTGTCCCTCTGCACTGTCCACCAAAGAGGCCACTGGCTGCATGTTGTGATTTAAATTAATTAAAGTGAAAAAATTGCAGTTCAGTTCTCAGTCATACCACCCATGTATCAGTTGCCCCAACACTATTGTGACCAGTGACCACGTATTGGGCAGTCGAGAGCCAGCATTCCCATCGCCTCAGAAAGGTCTATCAGACAGGGGCTGTGTTGGCACAAGTTCAGTGTGGGTAAAACTTAGAACAAGGACATCTTTGCACTATTTTAAAATCTCAATATTGGCTTTTTTAGGTCACGGCAAAACAAGTTTTGAAACTCTTACCTCTGTGTTTGTGTGTGTGTGGTTTATTAAATACTCAGTGCTCCTTCTTAATCATGCATCAAGAGGAAACTGGGACTTGACCACCAAGTCCCTTTCTCCAGGTCCATCTCCATTCCCAACCCTGACTTATGAGGCTCATAAGGAAGTCTACTTCAGTTGTAGAAGACAAGACCATATAGACTTCTGTATGTCTCAGTTGTAGAGTGTAGGTTTGTATTCATTTAATCATAAAGTTAGTTCACTATGAGTGGTACATAAAAGGATAAAACATGAGAATATTAATCTCTTTTGGAGTTAGGTCCCAGAAGTAAAATTATTATGGCCCATCTCCCTTTACTTCTTTCTCATTGTGGTGACACTTAGCTCAAAGGTTGGAAATGCTGAGTTTATTGCTGTGAAAAGGTGAGTAAGTGTACTCTGGACTATTATGCTGAACAGGAAGGAGACAGTATAAAGCACTTACAGTGATTTTTCACTCACACTGCCTGATACAAAAAAGGTCTCGATTACTGGGAAGTTCAGTTTCATGTCTGGGCTGGGCTGGGCACACAGAGGACAGCATGTAGCTCAGCAGGGAGCAGGAGGAGGCAGGTGGAGAGCAGTTGTGTGTGTAGCTGATGCAGGCAGGGATGGCGGGGGTTGGAGGGAAGAAACAAGAAGGACAGTCCTCCTTCAGGCTTGGAATGGAGGCTCACATTGGGTACCCAGGACAGAGCCAGGCCCCAAAGTCTAAGGCAACAATTTTGGAACACATCCAGGTTACCAGTGTGGTTGAGTTCAGTCACTTAATCAAGGGAATAAGAAAAATAATCCACAATGAAGAATGCTCCTGGGATGCTTGGGGATACCCACAGCAAAGGCTGCTAGCAAGCTCATGGGTTATCAAGTCACAGTTAAATGCAAAGTCGGGTCCTGGTATGGAACCATTTTTGATCGGTGTAGATGACTTCTAAATATTAGGTAGGAAGCAATGTCTTGGTGGCCCACACCCCTGGCAGAAGTAAAACTATTGCCTGGTGTAAGCAGGGGTTGCAGTGCCTCATCTGGGAGCTGTGGAAGGCTCTCAACCATCATTTTACTTTGGCCCATACTCCAAAAATGGGGCTAGGCTTGGTGGTGGGTGACTTTGAAAACAGAAATAGACATTCTGAGTTTTAGGACCAGATCTTACCCTGATCAAACAATAATGACTTGGGTTAATGTGGCAGATTGTATTTCCTAAAATTGCCACAACAGTATTTCTGGTCCCTGTGCTCTTTCAGAACTGAGCCTCCACACCAACTTTACTGCCTACTTTGGACTGCCTTGGCACATGGAGTGAGGCAGAAGCGATGTGTGACTGCCAGGGCTAGGTTGTAAAGGACAATATGGCTTCTGCCTGGTTCTCACTCATGTCCATCCCTTCTCTCTCTCTCTGTCTCTCTGTCTCTCTCTCTTAACCCCTCTCTCCCTCTCATCTTCCCTCCTTTCCTGTCTCCTCCTGAATATTCATTCTTACTCTTGGAACCTAGCCACTAAGATATGAGGAAGCCCACACCACATGCAGAGGGCCCAGTGTGGAGTTTCGGCCAACAGCCCATCTAAGATCTCAGTTGTCAGCTGGCACTGCTGCAGATACAAAGTGGGACTTCAGATAATTCCAGTCCCCAGCCCATGAACCATCCTAACTGCTCCAAGAGGGGGAGAATGAGCTGTCCTTGACAAGTTTTGTCTAAACTGTAGATTAAAGAACAAAATTAATGTCATTTCTTTATTACCTTTTGGAAGAAATTTTTATACAGCATAGTAATGGGGACAGTTTCATTTTCAGTTTTCAGGAACCTCTGGAGCGTTTTCCATAGTGGCTACACTAATGTGCGTCCCCGCCAGCAGTGTGTACAGGTTCCTTTCTTCACATCATGCTATCATTGCTTGTTATTTTAAATTAACTTATTTTGGTAGTGGCCTCTCTGACTGGGGCGAGGCAGTCTCTGTTGTAGTGCTGCTTTGCGTTACCCTGATGGCTAAAGATGCTCAACATTTTTTCATATTTTTTTTTGGCCACTTGTATTTCTTCTTTTGAGAAGTGTCTACTCATATATTTTGCCCAATTTGGGTACTAACTGTCTTATTTAGCTTTTCCAAACTGTTGGACACTTTAGAAAACTTGAAGGCAGAAAGACAGCAAAGTCTGCAAAGTAAGTATTTGAAAATTCTCAGGGTTGCCTGGAGGCATGGCTCAGTGGCAGAGTGCCTGCCTAGCATGTGTGAGGGCCTGGGCTCAATCCAAAGCACTGTGAAACAATATTATTTTTAAAGGAGTGTGCATACTTTTAAAAAACAGTTTTGCAAATTTTTATTAATTTTGAGTCTGCAGGGGATTGAGCCCAGGACCTCATGCATGTTAGGCAAGTGCTCTACTGCCGAGCTATATCTCCAGTCACAAATGAGACTACATACATTTTTGGATCTTTAAAACTTACCCTCAGTATTATAATTTTATAAGTTAATCTTAAAATTTAAAAAACTACTTTGAGTTACTTTAAAATGTTAACAAAATGCAGTATTAACGTCTTGAAATAAAGTGATGACATTAAGGTTTACAAATGAATAGGACAGCGCTTTGGTCACTCATCACTTCAGATCCTCTTATCTGTTCATGACTGCAGGGAGGAAACAACTTGAAAAACAGAGTCGTGAAGTTAAATGACTGGAAGATGTGTTGGGACACAGAAGTCCACATCATTTTCACACGCTGTTTGGAAGGAAATACCTTAAGCTTTTGTTGCAGGCGTTTCACTTCCACTTGCAGAGTCTTTGTAGCCGTTTGAGCCGCTAACGTCTTCCGGTTCTCGATGGCCAGCTGCCGGCCAAAGGCTCGGTTGTTCAGCCTCAGCTGTTTCTCTAAGCTCTGAAAACAGGACACATTTCAACTATTCTGTACGCATTTTAGCATTATGAAAACAGAACTGATTACACTTACGAGAATGCTACCTAGGGGACATTATTGGAAGTAAGTATAACCAAAGGGGGAAAAAAGCATAAATCTCAGATCCCTGTTCTAGAGAATTCAAGAGAATAAATATCATATGTTACAAACCCAGTGTCCCAATGTTTTTTGGAATTTGCTAAAAAAGTTTTACTAAAAGGTCAGTAATATAATCAGTGTCATACCTTACATCAAAACCTAAGCAGTTCTACCCATATGAACTACTCTGCTGCCATCCTCCCTGGACAGCCGTCTAGCATGAGCACTGACTGTTGTGGACAGGGATTCCCAGAGAACAGAGACAGAGACTGGACTGTGTAACAGACCCACGCCTGTCCACAGTGATGGACAGTGAGAAAACTGATTTGGCCTGATGACCATCTGCACACACCCCACCTGTTCTTTGTAAGAGCTATTTCATTGGAGAACTGTTTGGTCCAAACTCTGACAAAGGGCTTGGCCAAAAGGACTTTTTTTTTTTTTAAAGTAAAATGGGCTCTTCCCTTTTATAGCATTAGTAATTTCCCATTAAAGACAAGTGGAAAGGAGAAGGCTAAAAGGATGACATTATCACTAAAAATCTCATTCCCTAAAATTAACGTTCAAAAGATATCTACATGTTTTGGTCCATACAACATCTCTCTCCACCACCAAATACAACCAAGTTGGAATGCCCCTCCCTACTAGCAAGTGCTTCTGGTCACCAGTAATGGTCAGCTAGTTCTGGAATTGGTTTCGGTTTTGTTCATAAATATAAAACATGAACTTCTGTAACATTTATATATAAAAATACATACGTGGGATAAAATACATTTAATCTTATATGACACATGCTAAGATGGGCCCAGTACTACCCAAAAAAACAACTAATATGACCTTGGAATACAAGAGTGAAGGGTGAGGTTGTTCACTATTTTCTATACCTCATACATCCTTTGTGTGTGTGTGTGTGGTACTGGGGTTTGAACTCAGGGTCTACTCCTGAGCCACTCCACCAGCCGTTTTTTATGATGGGTTTTTCAGGATTTTGGGTCTCTCAAACTATTTGACCAAGCTGACTTCGAACCGTGATCCTTCTGAGTAGCCACCATCTCTTGGCTCCTATATCCTTTTCACGTGAGACAACTCTTTTTGTAAGTGGAGAAGTTTACCAACAGAAGAAATGATGGGTAAAAATGTGAATGAAATGAGCTTGTTATTTATTTCATGATCATAGAGAAAGTAAGCTTGGTAGTGTGCACACCTGTAATTCCAGCACTTGGGAGGCTAAGGTAGGAAGATCACAAGTTTGAGGCTAGCCTGGGCTACATAGTGAGACTGTCTCAAAAAAGTCATAGAAAATGCTTATCAAGGAATTAATACAAATTAATTCCATTTATGTTTACATCCATAGAGACCTAAACTAACTCCCATGTAAAACAGGCAGAACTCTATATGATCAGTGCCTTCTCCCCAGTTACACTTGTAATGTAATTAGTCTCCTGGCTTCCGACAACCAGGGACTGTTGAGGAAAATCAATCCATTCATCTTCAGTTATTTTAATTCCTTTTCCTTTTCTATTCCCAGAAACATTCTGGTAAAAATTCCTGTTTCTCATAACTGAACATGTGTGTGGTAGTGATCAGCCAGACCGATGGAGAATACAAGCAAAGGGTTGATAACACAGTGGTAGGTGAGGAAGCAGCCTTTCAACAGCAGTTCAAAGAAGGGGGCTCACTTCAAAGGCATCCAGGAGATGACCCTGAGCTGGACATGCCTGTCCAGTTACAGAGTGAGCTCTTGCTCGCTGCAACAGAACTAGTGGCTCCAGTTTTGAGCCTCCCACTTTTCCTTCAAGCCTCTGCCTTTGCCCTGTCCTCCACTGGACGCTTAATTATTCAGTGGACCATGAGCTGGGTGGTCTGTGGTGCTCTGGAACAGGGCAGGCAGATGGGATCAACAATTACCCTCTGTGGATTAGTTTTGGAAGCTTAAGATTTCTAGGCCTCTGAAATACAGACCTGTATTTTCTTGTCATTTGCCTCCATTTTTGCCATAAGAATAGACAGTCTGTGAGTCAGCTCTTCCCTTTCCGCAAGGTTTTTGTCCTCGGAAAGCCTCTGCAGGGCCTGCAGGGCATCCTTGGTCTTTAGTAACTTGCTGTCGGTCTCTCTGAGTTTTCTAGATACAGTTCTTTCCTTCTCCTGAGATCTCCTGAGGAGCTGCCTTAAATTTTTCACTTCATTCTGATGTTTAACTGTAATTTGAGGGAGATTATTTTGTGAGTTCTCATATTTTCCTATAGCTTTCAAGTGCCTAAGCTGGAGTTGTTTCAGAAATTGGTTTTCGAGGACGATGGCTTCCAGTTTGCGGTGCATGTCAGCTAACTCATTTTTGAGCTCTTTAATCTTATGAAGCCGTGCTGAGAGAATTCGGTGGGCCATGGCATCTCTTCTTTGGGTAATCAAATTGATTTGAGAGTTAAAAAATGATGTATTCCACGTGTGCTTTTTCTCAGCTGCGATTTCCTTCTGGCCTGTGGAAGGAGACAATCCAGTGTATTATTGGCAATCTAGACATGTAAACATGCACATATGCGCACCCCACATGCACACACACATATACACCAGCAGAAGAGGAGCCAGAAGGGGGAAGAACTAACACTGAATGAATACTCATGCCTTGGTGTAACTGCATCTAGTTTATAGCTGGAGATTTAAAGTCATTTGCCCAATGTTACACAGTCATGAAGTGACAAAGAATGGATTGAAAAGCAGGTCTTCTTTGCCTCTCAGACCTGTACAGAGATTTCTGCAATAAAAGTTATATTAAAAGGCACGATACTGTAACAGCTGACATTTACTAAACACTTTGCCACGTTAGACATCGAACTTATTGATTTGTGTAGACTATCTGACGAATTCCTTCAACAATACGTTATGAGGTAATGAGAGTGTAGCGTGAGACTGCAACGTGAAGAGCTCTTATATTCAAAATAATTCTTAATACTGTGCACAAAAGAATGAATATAGAACATTGAAACCTGCTGAAATCATCATAAGAATGGGACTAAGGTAGAAAGGAGAAAAATGGAGGGGATGAACCAATTTGAGACACAATACACATGTACCTGGAAATGTCATAATGAAACTCTCTATAGAGATAACTTAAGCAAACTTGTCTTTAAAAAAAAAAACAAAAACAGGACAGGAAGGTAAAGCAAGTCCTGTCTGGGGGTTGGTACCAATGGGAGGCGGGAGGATATAAGGAAGGCTGTAGGAGGGTGAATGTGGTATAAATATTATGTACTCAAGTATGAAAATGGAAAAATGAGAACTTTTCAAACTATTCCAGGAATGGGGGGGATAAAGTAGAATGATGGAGGGGTGAATCTAACTAAGTACATTGTAGGCACTTTTGTAAATGTCACAATGTACCCCTAGTACAACAATACTTTATTTAAAAAACAAAAAACCCCAAATTACCCTTAAAAGCCATTAAACTGTATTTATCTACATTTACATTTATATATGTATCATTTTAATGAATCCATCACAATCAGTTTTTCTTTTGTGTCTTGGGGCACTAATAATTGGCATGTGTTCAGGGGTCTATTTTAAACAGAAAGTATCTAAAGACAATACACGTAACACAAAGTTTATATAGCTGAATTTGAGTGTGTTAAATTCATGTGTAACATCACTTCTTTTTTTTTACACATATTCTTTGGGTAATATTTATTTATTTAAATTATTCATTTATTCATATGTGCATACAGTGTTTGGGTCATTTCTCCCCCCTACCCCCCTCTCCCAGCCAGTCTCCCCCTCCCCCACTCAGTTCCAGGCAGGTCCTGTTCTGCCTTTATCACTAATTTTGTTGAAGAAAAGCATAATAAGGAAGACAAAGCATTTTTGCTAGTTAAGAATAGCTATACAGAGATATTCCTAGCATTGCTTTCATGTACACGTGTTATGACCCACGTTGATTCATCTCTAATTGATCTTTACCCTGGTTACTGATCCCCTTCTCATGATAACCTCTGTCACTTTAAGGTTTCTGTATTAGTTCCTCTGGAGTGGGGACATCAAACGCTTTCATGTTTTGGGTTTTCTACCTATTCCTATATCTCCCGCATGTGCTCTCCCCTTGTCATGTGAGCCAAGTCCAACCACATTGCTGCATTTGCCCTAGATCTAAAGTCCACATATGAGGGAGAACATACGATTTTTGGTTTTCTGAGCCTGGCTGACCTCGCTCAGAATGAACATTATTGTTCTATTAATCTCATTTTTTGGTGGGGGGTAGTACTAGGGGTTTTAACCCAGAGCCTCGAGCTTGCTAGGCAGGTGCTCAACCACTTGAGCCACGCCCCCAGCCCTATTATCTCATTTTGAAGATCAGATAGTGGCACATGGGGACTCCTTGCTAATAGGTCCACAGTGACGGTGAGCCAAAACCCACTGGGTGTCTATGCTATTGCTCCATAGGTGCATGCATGTGTGTGATGCATATGTGTGCATGTGTGTCTTTGTATATAAATATGTGTGTATATATATCAGCACATCTTACAGCTAGCCTGCCTTATTTGTGGATTTAGTGCATGTGGTTTGATGAAGCACAGTCAAAAATAAAAAACAAAGAAATTAAAACAAAATTTAAATTCCCACATGTGCATTACACAGCTAAGAGAATACAGAGAAGCTCTCGGTGGGTCCTGTGTTATCATCAGTTGTATTTAAATCAGTGTGATCTGCTGAGTGTCCCCTTACCCTTAATTTTGTGAAAATATGCCTCCCCAAAACCAAATGGTGCCCAGAAGGAAAAGTTAATGTGCTTAATTTAAGTGATGAAGTGAGAATGTGTCCTTAGCAGAGGTTGGGTGGCGGTATGGGAGATATGAAATCCAGCAGCTGCAGGGCAGCACTGGGCTCTGCATGCTGTGCATGGTGGTCTCCTTGGAACCAAACACCCAAGGACATGAAGGGTCTAGTGGATTGTGTGAAAGGGAGATTAAAACTGCATTCTAAAACCTAAAAGAGCCTAGCTCTTGTTCTCGTTCTGGAGAAAGAAGGGTGCTTAGGGACCAGTATCACTGGAGCCCTAACCCTAAGCAATTGGTCTGTGTGTGGACGCATCATTTGAAACATGGACTAATAGTTTAGTGGTGAGAAGAGAAATTCTGCCTGTGTTACAAACAGTGAGTCAGTAGAAACAAGCATGCTTTTTGGAGATAAAGCTGTGACTGTGATAGACCACCAGATTTTACAGCAGTCTGCAAGTGCACTTCAGGGGCACTTATTTTCCCAAAGGCAACAACAACTTGGTAGGGCTGGGGTTGAATACTGAGTGCTTTAGAATAGCTTGTGACGACAGTGAAGATGCATGAAGATTTACTTAAAATATTTTCTCAATATTAATATACAACAGGACACTGAAGCAAGAGCCAACCCTTCACTCTTCTGGATTATGGATTTAGGGATCCTAGTCTCCCATGAAGTGCTGGAATTGATTTAGGTTGCTCTTAATTGATGAACACATATCATACATAAAGGACTCAGCAGATATTTGTGTAAACAAGTGAGGGACCGGTTTAAAAGGCTAAATGATTAGTGTTCAGAACTCAAGATGCAGTTTGCTTCTTGTAAGTTTTGTAAAAGCTGACTGCCTTTTTGAATAGTCCCACAAAAAATTAAAACTGATGTAAAGGTTAGCACATAGATCTATGACCCCTGTCGTATGCCACTGGACCAGGGTTTCAGAATTCTATCATTACTTATTTATTTTGATAAAGGGTCTTGCTATATTGCCTAGGCTGATCTTAAAATCCTGGACTCAAGTGGTCCTCCTGCCTCATTTTTTCAGTGAAATATATAACTATTTACACCAAGTAAAATGAAGATCAGTTTTATATCAGCTCAAATCAGTTTTTTTTTTCCAAATCAATTTTGGTTTGAGAGGTTGGGTTTTCAGAAATCTGTAAATTTTCAATGTGGATGAGGGTTGTAGAATTGCAGGACCTAGCCAAGATATTGTTTCATAGTAACAGCCTCTTCCAAATTCTATAAAAACAGACTTCTTTTGATGGAGTCCATCATGAGAGAAGGATGTGGGCTTTTTATTTTCTGCTCAGGGCCTTATCAGCAGTGTGAGGCCCATTCTAGCCTATCTATAAAAGGGATTTTTAACCTTTTGAGAATCTGGTGAACACTATGGGTCCATCCCCCTAGAAAAGTTCACAAAAACACACAGGCAAAAAAACAATGCATGAAATTTCATGGGGTTCACTGACATGTGTCTTAGAAGAACTCTTGCTCTAGGAAAGAGGGGAACTGAAGAGTGTCCATGGTCCAGAGGTTGCACTGAGGGTCTTGGACACTCCTGGTAATAGCAGGCTGGGGGAGAATGACACTGGGTAACCGTAATGGTGGTAGATGAGCGCAGAGATAGTAGGTTTTCAATCAAGTATTGGCCAACTGTCGGCTGAGAGTATTCTAATGACTGAAGTGGAAAGGAGCTCCAACTATCCCTGAGTAAGGAATACTTATAATCTCTAGATCACCCACAACGGGAAAAAGAAATTACAGAGCAGGGAGGAAGGAGGCTAGCAATCTAGGGTATTACAAGACTGACTCCAACTTGGACCGTAGGAGTTGATGGGGTTGGTACTCTAAAAATCCACAAGGAAATAACATTAGCAATAGTCTTTGGTGCCTCTCTGTTTCAAAATATTGTCTTTGCCGTGCCTCACCAGATTTGGAGACCATCCTCTTGGGGTATCGAGACAGGCATTTACATTTCATTGATAGTTCAAACCTTGATTCTTCAGTGGAGATGAGAGGCAAGATGCCAGTGAAATCCGGGTGTTTTAGGACATTGTAACAAGGCCACCTGTCAACTAAAAATGGAACCAGCCTCACTAGCAGGCTCCAGTAGTGAGGAGCCTGGACTAGGCTTTACATTTTCAACCTGTTATTTTCTAATTATCCTTAATTTCTCTATTTCCTAATTCCTTCTAGAAAAGTTCACTATAATACACATTTATAATATGGAAAATCAATATATCTGAATATGGACCACTTTGAAATGCATTAAATAAAGTCATTGTAACCAGGGATCAGCCTTGGTTGGGAAATTGGGCTTCTTACCTTTGGGCTGGGAGATTTTAGCAGCATTGTACCTTTTCTTCGCCTTTTCTTTTACCACAGACTGCTCTAAATAATTTCTGTTAGTGGCTGCTTCTGAACATTCAGAGAGAAAGTCTTCTGAGTAGTCATAGTGAGAATTCAGGCTTCTGCAAGAGTATCGAGACCTGCTGTAGTCCACGCTGCCGTTGGATGCCTGGCTGCTCTTGGACAAACCGCCTGTGCACAGGCTTCCCCTGCTCTTCTCTAATTCCAAGATGGGGAAAAGCTCGTCGGTGTGTGTTTTTGTTGGATCAGCCAACGACATAGTAAACAACCTAATAAAAGAAAAGTGTTTTTGAGTTTATAGCTAATGACATTAAAATGAACCTGTGCTTTGTTTTCTTTCAATTATTATGGACAAGTAGAAATGTGACATGATACATTATTGGAAGTACATCTGGAAGAATTAAGTTTGTTTTTCACATTATTTCTACATTAGAGTTTAAGAACCTTGAGACCAAACTTTGGTAATATTCACAGGTAATGTAAGATAAAATCATATTAGATAATAATACTGAGAACATTTATGAGTTAGTGAAGTTCATTCTCATTTTTAAAGGCTGGTTTTTGTTTTTAATTTTTTTTTGCCTTTAGGATGGAAGAAATCTGTAAATTTGGACAGCTGGTATGGAGTATAACTGTGAAATTCAGACGTATTTATGGAGCTGTTCACTTTCACTTAATAATGATATTGCATTTGATAGCAAACACATATAGTATAACAGAATAAATCTCCTTGTTTTATAGACCTAGTACTTGCTCTAAACCAAGAGGAGTAGTGTATTCCAATGATGTGAATTGACCTAATGATTATAAGTTTCTTTATGTTTTAACCCAGGACATTTATTTTCCTTCCTGTGTTTTAGAGCGTCATAACATGAATGTGATCCCATGAGTACACACAGGGAGAAGAAGCAATTCAGAAAAGCATGCATGTCTTATGGGAAAATCATCCAGGGACCGAAACTTCTGAGAAGTCCATTAAGTGGAGAACTTACATTTCCTTAGTAAAGAACTGACCATACTTTCAGCTACACTGAAAACAAACTTTTATAAAGTGATCGGAAAAACCAAAATGAAGTTCCTGAATTATTATAGATTTAATTTTTCAACGTGAAAAACTGAAAGCTTATTGGGGACCTAAATAATAGTAAAAATAGACTTCAAAGGTGTATGTTTAACAGCTAAAGTGAAAATAAAATTTGGTGGTGTGACCCCACTTCCTAATTAGGGACATACATAGTTGGAGGATCTTGTAACCAAAGGCCAGAACTGAAAAATTAACTTTTTTGAAAAATTAATTAAAACCAACATGGCATTATCTTTAATTTGGGAAGGATTTGATTTAAACTGGGCATAATTTAAAGTCATTTAAGCACAGTAGTTTATCATTTGTAGATCAGGACTGTTTTCAGTTGGGTGAATTACTCCCAAGCCACATGCATAGGTAACTTCAGGGATCCTGGTAGCTTAAGTAACTCCTTACTTTTTGTCCCAAGGATATTAACATTCAGTAAAAAATAATTTGTAAGATTTATTTATTTAGTTAGTTACGGTAGTAGTACTGGGTTTGAACTCAGTGGCTTGCACGTTGCTAGGAAGGTGCTCTACACTTGAGTCATTAAAGTACTGATTGGATTAACAATCTTTCTGTGATGAGCACAGCTAGGAGACAATGTTCCTCCTGTCTGCTTCACACAGGCTTTCCCATACCTGTCATGCTATACCCAGCTTCTTGTCTTCATCTGAGGACTAGCCTCTGGGGGAGGCTGAAAGCTGCTGTTAAATACACAGGCCCCAAGAACCGGAGATTTTCACAGGAAAGATATCTCCTGAAGAACACTGTGTACACCTCTAAGGTAGCTCAAGACAGCTACTAACAAATATATAGTCCAGCTGGGTGTGGTGGTATATACCTTGTAATCTTAGTACTCAAGAGGCTGAGGCAGGAGGATTAAGAGTTTGAGACTAGCCTAGGCTACATAGTGAGGCCCTATCTAAAAAACCCAAAAACAATTAGTATATCCTTGATAATGTAGGAAAAGTGGATTCCAAAGGACATCCTAACAGTATAGTCTTTATTCTTGATAAATAGAAACTGGATTCCAAAGGACACCAACTTCTGACACTTTCAATAAAGCCCTGTTAGCTGTCCAAACTGAGAATTTAAAATGGACGGGACAGGCAGTCACAGGAAGGACCCCAAATGCATGTACACAATACAGTTAACTTTAGTTGGAAAGCGGGTCTGAAACTAGATCCATGTTTATCACCCTGTACTATTATCAACTCAAAATGGATCAAGGACCTTAATATCAGACCTGAAACTCTGAAGTTAGTACAGGAAACAGCAGGGAATACTCTGGAAGCAATAGGTGTAGGCAAGGACTTCCTCAATAGAACACCAGCAGCCCAGCAACTAAGAGCAAGAATGGACAAATGGGACTACATGAAATTAAAAAGCTTCTGCACAACAAAAGAAATGGTCTCTAAACTGAAGAGACCACCCACAGAGTGGGAGAAAATATTTGCCACTATACATCAGACAAAGGACTGATAACCAGAATATACAGGGAGCTCAAAAAACTAAACTCTCCCAAAATCAATGAACCAATAAAGAAATGGGCAACTGAATTAAACAGAACTTTCTCAAAAGAAATTCAAATGGCCAGAAAACACATGAAAAAATGCTCACCATCACTAGCCAAAAAGGAAATGCAAATCAAAACCACACTAAGATTCCACCTCATCCCTGTTAAAATAGCTATCATCAAAAACATCACCAACAACAGGTGTTGGTGAGGATGTGGGGGGGGGGAAAAGGAACACTCATACACTGCTGGTAGGAATGCAAGCGAGTGCAACCACTCTGGAAAAAAATTTGGAGGCTTCTTAAAAATCTAAACATCGATCTGTCATATGATCCAGCAATCCCATACCTAGGGATATACACAAAGGAATGTGACACAGGTTACTCCAGAGGCACCTGCACACCCATGTTTATTGTGGCACTATTCACAATTGCCAAGTTATGGAAACAGCCAAGATGCCCCACTACTGACGAATGGATCAAGAAAATGTGGTATTTATACACAATGGAATTTTACTCAGCCATGAAGAAGCAAGAAATCTTATCATTTGCAAGTAAATGGATGGAACTGGAGAACATCATCCTGAGTGAGGCTAGCCAGGCTCAGAGGACCAAAAATTGTATGTTCTCCCTCATATACGGACTTTAGATCTAGGGCAAAGGCAGTAATGTTGTTGGACTTGGGTCACACACTAAGGGAAGAGCACATACGGGAGGAATGAGGATAGGTAGGAAACCCAAAACTTGAAAGTGTCTGATGTCCCAACTGCAGAGGAGCTAATACAGTAACCTTAAAATGACAGAGGTTAATATGGGAAAGTGACTTGGAAGTAGTGAAGAGGTCAGGTATAGATGAATCAATTCGGGTTGTAATACACTTTTGCATGGAAGCAATGCTAGGAATCTCTCTGTATAGCTATCCTTATCTCAACTAGCAAAAATGCTATGTCTTTCTAATTATTGCAGATGTCTTCTCTTCAACAAAACTGGAGAAAAGGGCAGAACAGGTTCTGCCTGGAAGCAAGGCGGGGGCGGGGGGGAGGGAAGAGGAGGGAGTGGGGGGCAAGAGGGAGAAATGACCCAATGTATGCACATATGAATAAATGAATAAAGAAAAAAAAGAAGGCAGCTCTTGGGTTTTGTTTTGTTTTGTTTCTTGGTGTTACTGGGGTTTGAACTCAGGGCCTCATGCTTGCTAGGCAGGCACTCTTCCACTTGAGCCATTCCACCAGCCCAAGAAAGCACTTCTTGCAGTTCTTTGTGAGGCACTGCAGGAAGGCACTATTAGGCCACTGTGTCTCCATAGCAGCCTACCTCACTGGCAGATTGAAACAAATAAATCCATTTCCTGGGTCTTTAAAAGGATTATTTTTTCTTTAATTCTCAATTCTCTTGTTTTATCAAGAATGCAAAAGAGAAATTAGCTGGTATCAGATCCTTTTGAACGGGAATCTAAACAATCTCTCGAGAGGTTTTATTTTCCTAAAACAATTTCTGCTTTTTGCTGCCTCTGCTTAGCTCTTGTAGATTTTCCATTGTCACTACGAGGAATCTCATTAGCAATACATGCATTACGCTTCACCAGTGCTTTCATGTTGTACAATTGCTTTAGCATCGTCCATCCTCGCTGCAGAGAGGGAACAGGCTTAGACTGGTTAAAGTCTAAGTGATGACCTGTGCTTTCCAGCTCAGGGCCAGTGCTTTCTTTCTCAGCTTCACAGTGTGGACAGCACACTTGGGGGAACATCACATAATCCAAATGCAAAGAATTCTCTTTTCAGACACATTCTTCTATGTAGCAGTGGGAATCAGCAGAGGCAAAGATCCTTATTTGTGAAACTTTGTATCTGAATTAAGAATAATCCCAGATGCGATCCCAGTTGTTGGTGTAAGAGACCCTGAAGGACATTGCTTCGCCTGGCCTTGTCCCTAGGAGCTGAAGTTGTTCCTCCTCACCCTGCCTGCTCGCCCAACTTGATAAATTCAAATGGCCTGAGCCATGGCTTCTTATCTGCAGGCATGTTTTTGGGCCACTTGTCCCCGACATGAGCTAGTCTTTCACTGATCTCTCTTGAAAAAGCCAGATAGAGTCCTTCCTCCATCTCCAGTTTGGAATACTCCTCCCTCAGCAAGACTCAGGTTGGGGGCATGGCTCAGGGGTAGAGCACACGCTTAGCCTGTGCGAGGTGCTGGGTTCCATTCCCACCACCGCAAAAGAAATAAAGTCTTGGCACACCAGCATTTTTAGGTAAACCTTATTAATATGAGAGTATTTTTCATATCCCATTTATAATCTGCCCACCAGCTACAGAGGTGGCAGGGAGTTCGATGGGGCAGAAAACGATAGACAACTTGAAGGCAGGCAGAGTTGGGGTTGAACCTGGATCTGTCTCTTGGCCATCTGCACAATGTGACTCACACTGCCATCAAGGGGGAATGAGATAGTGTTCCTAGAATGTTTATCACATGGTAAGCACTTCCAAGTATTAGCTTCCCTCCTGAAGAGTGATTCTGGGACAAACCAAGGACTGTCAAGGGCACTGCTAGGTCTTCAGGTGAGAGATGCAAAAGACAGTTTGTTTCCCATCAGCTCTTTTATTAGAAACAGTTGTTGTATGAGCTCCCTAGGCAGAACTGTCCTGGAGGCAGAGGCCATGTCTTCTCCTGTGGAGCTTCTTCAACCT